ATAAATTCAAAGCTGGATTTCTGCAACTCGCTTTTACATGGTCTTCCCAAGTATGAAATTAACAAACTGCAAAGTGTCCAAAACGCTGCAGCGCGTGTGATTGCCTGCTTAAGTAAGTTTGATCACATAAGTGATACTCTAAAGGAGTTGCACTGGCTACCAGTGGAGCAAAGAATAATCTTTAAGATTAATCTTATTTGTTTTAAGATACTCAACAATTTAGCTCCTGATTATTTGGTTGACCTAATCCATGTTTATGAACCTGCGAGGTACCTTCGATCATCTTCAGACAAGTGGCGTCTTGTTATTAAACCCTATAACTTAAAGACATACGGTTTCAGGGCTTTTTCAGTCATTGCCCCTATACTCTGGAACGATTTGCCCGTTGACATTAGGTCGATCGATGATGTAAATAAGTTTAAATCTAAATTGAAGACCTTTCTTTTTAAACGAGTTTACGAACTATCTTAGGTTTTTTATTTTGTATTTTTGTGACTATGTATATATGTATATATGTAATGATTTTAGGATTTTTTATTTTTTATTCAGACCTTTTTGAAGTAATGTAAAGCGCTTAGAACTGAAAAGTATAAGCGCTATATAAATATTTTATTATTATTTATTATTATTATTAAATTTTGGATTTTGGTCTCGCTAAGGGTGTTCCGGACAAAGCGCCAATATTTTAAGCCGCCAAAGTCTCGTTTAGGGTTCCGCAAAGAAACACAGAATTACGCAATTTTGAAAACTAAACTAGTGAGCAGCACTCTGCGAACTGTTGCTGTAAAACTTGTTTATTCTCCTACGTGTTTCATCTAACTAACGTAGACTTCTTCAGGGAGTTTTACAATCAAATACTTAACGCCAGTATTTAAGCCATAATATGACTAAAAATAATGATGGGCGCAAACAAACGCAAGGCGTGAGAAAACTTTGGGGCCACGGTTTTAGCTAAAACCGTGGCCCATTTGAATTGCCTGCTTCTGAAATTTTTCTGGCCAATCAACGAAGAGAAGCATCCGGGTGACTCTCTTGTTTTCCTACACGACGTATTGTTCCTCATCGATTGCCGTAGTTGCGTAGTGCATTCAACCAAGAAAGTTTCTCACGGTAATTTTCAGAACAAAATGTTAACAACCCGCAAAAATTACAACCTTTAGCACGGCTACAAGAAACAAAGACTCTGTGATGAATTGTTAGGGCGGATCTTTCCAAGGTATCGTAAATTTTTATTGCTGATTTGATATATTAAATTTGCTCACATTCTCTAGTATACAACGCCAAACTTACAGTTTAGATGTCCATGTTAGTTGTACGACTTTTGAAAGTTTCTACAGCGGGAAAATTTCCGTTGCATGGGCCACGCAGCTACTAGGTCGATTGATCATGAGAATTGCCAGCCAGCTGCAGTGCACGCACCTCCTTTCTTTCGTGCCAAACTCCCTTACCATACGGTTTTTAATACAGCTGGTGTGTTAAGGTTCGAAATCTTGGTCCGGTTTTATGTTGAATCTTGACTTGTTAAGTGAGGTCGATTTTTGCAGGCTGTGTGGGTTTGTTTTTCGGGATAAGCAAAGAAAAAAAGTAAAGGTGAGTGTGCGAAAATGTTTGAAAGTGGTCGGTGTGAAAGTTTTGGAGGGCGATAAAACCAGTGTGTGACACGTGTAGGTATAGAGGTGAGAAATCGTGGAAGGGTGGGATGTCTATATAGATATTTTTGTAGTCACTAAAACTTTACAAGAAGTGAACGCCCTTAAGGAAATTCCAGGAAGAAGAGACCAAGGAATAGGGACACTTTCCAAAGATCCATCTTCAGCTCTTGATTTCAAGGACCTGGGTCTCTGGCTTACTAAACATAAGAGAACCTGGGTTAATCTTCACTGTGATTAAAATTATGGCTAATATAGTAGAGATGAATTTTTATTCTAAGATATCTTTTAACAAATACATGTATAAAAGTATTTTCACATAATATGTGATTTTTCACCAAACTACTGCAATATTAACAATTTTCCGTTGGTGCATTTGTTTGATATTTCATAACTTCCCTATTATAATTAGCTATAATTCTCCTCATCTGACAATGATATTCTTCATTGATAGTTATTTTTAAGTCTTTTAACACCCTCTTCAGACAGGATAAAAATCTTCATTGCATGGTCACCATTCCACACAGTGTCTCTAAAATACTTTCCACAGACCATAGTTTATGACAATTATCAATTATTGTTTCCTGTAGAAGACAATCAGAGAATACAACTTCTAGAATACAAGCAGTGATGATTTGATTCTTGAAATTCCTGTTTCAGATCATCGTGATTTTCTTTAAGAAGACGCAAGGTTTTTTACTCTAGCATTTGCTGGTGTTGGTTCTGTTGCCTTAGGCATCAGAAAAGTCATGCTTTTTGTGTCATCTTTACATTACTGCTTGTCCACACTGACAGGCTTTGGCACAGATGTGGCAACATAAGTGGCTTGGAATGATTCTGCTGTTTTCACCACTGTCATCAAAAAAGGAAGGATTTTTTCTCTTCTGCAGGTTGTACACAATAAAATCCAAAAGAAGAAAGACTTTTAGAATTATCGAAAACACTAAGTGACAATTTCAGTTCAGTTCCCTTTTTTCCAGAGAGTGTTGGAAAGCTTTTTGCATGTTATGTGTAGGTATACCATATTTACTTGTTATAATGTGCACTCGAATATAATGCGCACCCCATTTTTCTAGACTGTTTTCAAATAATATTCTCAAGTATACTGGTTTGCCACCTAGTAAAACAAACCCTTTGGGACAGAAAGAATCACCAACAAGTACCCCAGCGTAAACATTTATTAACAAATTAAAATAAAATATTACAGCTCCCTAGTATTTACGTAACTCAAGGAGTAAGAAGATATAACGAAGAGACAAAATTCTCTGTTACTCCGAGTTTCGTGCTCACGCACTCATCAGACAGTATTTAATGGAGAATAAACCTATCAAGTTATATATATACACGCGTCTATTGATTACAAAAAGCAGGGCAGTGCGGTTCTAATTACAATTAGGTGTGAGGAAAAACTAATAGAGTGTTGTTTTTGAGTCAATTGTTCCTAAGGTAAAACTTGTTTTCGTGGCGGCACTTGGAAATCAGTTCTGATCTTTTATTTAGGATTCTGTCGGGGTTTGCAGTAATGATCATTAGTTTCTCTGTTAAGCATAGGTCGCATCGTTTAGAAATGTTGTTGTAGGGTCTTGCACGGCTGATTATAGTCCATTTGATGTTGAAGTCTTGATTATTGTCACGTAGTTTCCAGATGTATTTGGAGAGTTCGGTGCTGTNTACTATAATGTTAAGTAGTCACAAGGCTTACTTCATCAGCTTTCAATTGTCAATGAGTGGTGACAAAAAAACATGATAATTCTTGTGAAGTGTCTGCCAGCTTTAAGACACAAGATTACTGAACATCCTTGAGTAAAAGCCAGGTCTACTGTTAAGTATAATGAGGGTCCTGAGGGAGAATATGAATCCCATTGAAACTGTTTAACCCTCAGTTCCCATTTTTTTACATTTTTTCCTATTCACAGTGATGGAATCCCCCTGCCAGTGACTTAAATCCCGTTTTCCCAGAGCAACAACATACCATTTTACCCCTTCAGGACTCCCCACAATGAATTCAGTGTAGCACCCTTCCTAGTGAACAAATCAGCATACTTACCAATGGACAGCTGTATGTACCTCATCACAAACAACTGCAACAGGATTCTTCTGGTAAAACTCCTTAGAAAACATTGCCCTGAATTTCTTGTCCCCCAGTTAATGATTCCGGGCTTGCGTACAACAAAGAAAACACTCCCTATCCATTCAATATTTCTTGATCTTTCATTTTGCTTTCCCCTAGGTAAGCGGCCTGAATTCCTGGTGACCTCGAGTACTCTAGCTGGTCCTCAACAATTGACATGAGAGGTGAAATCACTATGACCAATGGATTACTAGGGAATTCATAACCTTAAGCATCTAACGATTTTTAAACCCCCTAACTTAGGCAACATTTGGAAGGTTAGACTCTTCTATCAATTGCCCAAAAACATCTCTTCTTTCCATAAAACTTCTCAATAATAAATCTTTGCTTGGCTTTTAACTGTACCACCGGAAACAAAAATAAGCCTTTTTCAAGAGCTTGCTGGAGGTCTCCTGCGAATCTAAAGTTAACACTACTATCAACTTTGGCAGAATTCGCACGGTCAACTGATGTAAGCTTTTAATCTTAAAAGTTTCGAAAGAAGTTTGGCACGAAAGTGAGGAGAAGGGTGCATGCACTGCACCTAGCCGGCATTTCTCACGATCAATCGACGCAGTTGCGTGGCGAGTGCAACAGAAATTTTCAGAAGTCATCCAACGAACATGGACATCTAAAATGTAACCTTGGCGTTGTATACTAGAGAATGTGAGCAAATTTAATATGGTGTGGAAAGTGAAAGTCATGCATGATGTATCATATCAGCAACAAAATTTACGATACCTTGGAAAGATCTGCCCTAAAAGTTCATCAGAGAGTGTTTGTTTCTTGTAGCCGTGCTACAGGTTGTAATTTTTGCAGGGTGTTAACATTTTGTTCTGAAAATTTCTGAGAAACTTTCCTGGTTGAACGTGCTACGCAACTATGGCGACCGATGAGGAAAACTAACTCGTGTAAGAAAACACGAGAGTCACCAGACCGCTTCTCTTCGCTGATTGGTCAGAAAAAATATTTTTGGCCAATCAGAAGCAGGCAATTCAAACACTTCTGGAACTGGTTCAATGAGATTAATTGCCCAGGGGCTCGTCTCGATCTTACAGTAAACTTTCACCACGAACATTTTATCGACCTGACTAACTGCCCCTGGGTCTCCAAGGATGGAGACCAATATCATGTTGTCATTCGACATTTGCTATTTTCACCGTCAAGTGTAATGATTCTGTTAACTTTTCTTTCTTGTTTCCTTGTGTTTTTTCCTTTGTTAAGGACCAAATAGCTTCATTTCAATCAAATGAAATTGTTGTGTTTTTTAAGTGAGTGTTCCGTGTGTGTATTTCATTTTGTGATTGCGACTGAGTTTGAATCACAACCGGTTCAGAGTACTGCAGGCAGTTGATAGTTTGAACATTAAACATGAAGAAAGTAATGCAACTGATCAGCTGTTCTGTATCACCTAGACATTTTCAAACGATATTTCTTGGTTTGCCACTTGAAAATCATGTTTTACTTTTTGCATAAATTAAAAGGAGTAGTGACTTCGCTGGACGGCATTAATGGCCGTTTGATTCAGATGTTACTGAGGGAGTAATAACGACTTGAAGTAATCGGATGAAATTCACGTTACACAGTGAAATAATATGTGCATTTCATTTTCAAACCAATTTGGGTTGCAGCGATCACAGATTCTAAGGTCTTCAGGAGTTTTGGGAATAGTAAATCTTCCAGATTCTATTTTTAATTGTGATTTCCTAGCTACACGCCTATGTTCAGGATTTCAGATAGGGTTGATAAATTCAGAGTAATTTGTTTCATTTTTAGCTATTTGCTCTTATCAAATTTAGCTGGTGTTTTTTTAGATGTTTTGACCAATTGTTTTCAGCTTTGGGTAGGAAAGTAGAAGGGTTTTTAAAGTTAACTCATTGTTTATTAATAATAGGAAATATTTGCTTGCAAATAGAATGTTTATGTTTCTTCTTCCCGTTGTGTACTTTTTATTTCTTTGGGGGCCAGGGACTTGGGGTGGCATTTATTTGGATTATAGCCTTTAGGATACTTGTGCTTGCCAAGTAACCAGGCTTCCATGTGAGCGTCACTTCATTTCATCTTGACAGTGGTGGAAGACGTGTTTTTTCATTTGAGGTGAGTTTAATTAATTTTATCCCTCTAAACAGTTTCCTCTTTGACCATTTGTCTTTATAAGTCACACGCTTTCTGTGTATGTTCCATTGGGTTTTTTCTTTCGATTGTTTGGTCAATTTCTTACATTTTGCTTGCACGTGTGTGTGGTCGAATTCACAGCTTTCTTTGATTCGAATTTCTTTCTTTGGTTTTGTTTGTTGCTATGGCTAGCTCACCTCCTACGGTTCTTATCTTGGGCCATTCGTTTGTTCGAAGGCTAAGTTCAGAACTTAGATCCAATTTTGATGCCCGTGCTGCCGAACATTTCAATCTTTTGGGTGACACCGTGATTCACTTGCATAGCGTGGGCGGTCGTACTGTGAAGAAACTTCGCCTTGATGACCTTGGTGTTGTTTCTGCCCTAAAACCTGACGTCATTATTCTTGAAATAGACACTAATGATCTTGTTGCTAACTGTCCCGAGGTCTGAGATCGATGATTTGGTTCAATTGCTGCTCCAATCTTACTCTGTATGAGACATCGGTGTTTGCGAGGTGATACCTCGTGTTCGAGGGCTGTTCTTAAACGTGGCAGCACCGATCCTCAACCAATATCTCACTGATGTTCTAGAGCTTTGTCCCAACGTTTTTTCCTGGCGCCACACGGGCTTTAGTAATCCCTTCATCAGTCCTTGCCCAGTGGTGTTCACTTAAACCCTCAAGGCCAGTATTCTCTTTATCAAAGCTATTGGGGAGGTACAGTCTCAGTCAAAATGGTTGGGACACTTTCCCCTCAATGTTGGTGTACAAGATTTGGTGACCAAACCGCGATAAACAACTTTGAGAGGGACGAGGGGAGCACGAGAAGGGTAAAAACAGCGTTTGGTTAAGGTGTCCCAACTATTTTTGTCTGAGACTGTGTCGGGGAGGAATTTGAAGCAGTGTTGACAGATACGGAGGTTAATCTGTAGGTCGGTCACAAGCGACGGGCTTTTGGTTTGTTGGGCATCCATTGTGTTTCATGAACGTTTCTATAGCAGTGAACTAAGTTATTTGGGCATAACAACATAACACAAAGAATGACCAGTTCGCAGAAATTTCTTGGGCAGAGTAGAGTATTGGAAAATAAAAGGAACTGAGTGTGCACTAAACCCTACACAAATAGCTTTCTAGTGGCCGATTGATAGCGTGACAATATAGCACGTGCATACTATCTACGTAAGATTCGGGGTTTTCATATACGAGGCGCTCGAATGTGCCACATTTCTAGAAAAAATGTGTGGAGAATAATAGAGAAGGCCTCTTTGCCAAGAAGGAGTGTAGGAACAAGGCTCAAAGGGACGCATTTCTAATGTAAGGGCAAGAGGCAAAAGACAGCTGAAAGAACAATTAAGCGATTTGGAGACTGAAGGGGGAAATTTTTCGTCCAGTTTGGAAGAAAATGCAACAAGCCAGAATTATTCCCAAGACGTATCAGCGAGAACAGTATCCCGCTTTCTAAATTTCTAAAGATACTATTGACTACAAGCGCGTAGAAAGGGTGTCCAACAATAGTGTAACTGTTTGGTCCGACGCCAAAAAGTTTCTTAATGATATTCCAGGCTACTGCTGTGAAATCGACAACTTTTTACAAGTTGTGGTGACATCGGTTCTCATTCTTTACCCCAAATATACACCTTCCTGAATAGCTCTTAAAACAAACTACTGTGCCATAAACGTGGGACTTGAGGTACAAAACATGAATCATATCAAACGAGGACACTACCTATCCTTAAAACGTCAAAAAAAGCGTTATACTCGACGTGTACAGGGGTCACCGTACATTAATTCAATTAAGATATTTATAAGTTTCTTTCAGCGAACAATCATGTCACCATGATCAAAGTTTTCATAACTTGTCTTACATATATCAAGGCGATATAAACCTTGGCTATTTCAATTAAGTGTGAAAGTACCTTATCCTTGTCTTTCTTAATCCATTATATATACCAGAGAGGTCTTAGAAAACGCTCTGGATAGTATGGTGACCCGTTATGGTGACCCATCCAATCGTGTCTCCACCGGTACAATATATTAGCGGCAAGATACACAGCCTGCGAAATAATGCGCGCAGTTTTGACTCATCCATTGTTCACTCTTTAAATCGACTACTTTGAAAGCTTTTTTAATACCGTGGAATGTTGTAATTAAAGAAACAAAGACTTCTTTCCTCTATTAATTGTCTTCTCTCTTTCCATCCTTGAAATCTCTAATGTTTTTCCCGAAAAAATGGCTCCGAAACGTGCATATACCTGCCAAGCGATTTCCCGCCACTAGAGCCAACGAGGAGTCACATACCTAAAATTCCTCAAAAACACAGTCTCAGTCAAAATGGTTGGGACACTTTGGGGTCTCCTTGTCCCCTCAATGTTGGTGTACAAGATTTGGTGACCAAGCCGCGATAAACAACTTTGAGAGGGACGAGGGGAGCACAAGAATGGAAAAAACAGCGTTTGGTTAAGGTGTCCCAACTATTTTTGTCTGAGACTGTAGCTCCCGTTAATAAAAGATTTATAACTTAAATCAAACAATAAACTTGTATTCCACAGATCAGTTAACTTAAGGACAAATTCATGTGACTTTTGAGGCAAAGGCTAAGTGATTTTAGGGTGAAACATCTTACATCGAGTTGATAGCGTTATATGTACACCCAAAAAATAGCAATCATCTTCGATCACATTCAAGAGCCATAATGGCTCTTGATCACAGTAGATTTGGCCTGGAAAACAAATTCTGGAAAAACAAATCAGGCCGAATTTTTTGCTTTCGACAAGTTTGCTTTACAAAATCTTGCCAACAAATCTGGGGGTGTGTAAACCAACCTTTTATACTTGTTATACATTACATT